CGGCGACCTCGGGCGTGTAAGGAGTGTGGTGTCCCCGCCGGCGAGGGGGTGTGGTAACCCCGGGAACGCCGGCTGGAGTCGGACCCGCGGGCTGCCGATGTGTCCTCGGGATTGCGGCGACGACCCCCCCGCACACACCCGCCCCTCATTCCCACAAATTCTATGGAGCGACCGCGGGAGGAGGATCGTGTGTTGCGGTCCCGCAGCTCCTGTTTTCGATTCCACGTTTTCCTCCTTACGTGTAAATTTTAGAGTGTGACAGTCATTCCACGTTTTCCGTTGACAGTCCTCTGAATGAGAAGGGGATGACCAAATAATTGCTTGTCTAGTTTTGATTCTTTAAAAATTTGAGGCTGATGTACATATTACACTCCTCACCCCCCACCAAAAAAAAAAAAAGCCCAAACCAGAGTGGTAATCATTTCAATCTGCCCTTGATATATCGTTATCTCTGATCACACATTTGTAATTCCACTATTTCATTCCATTTGTGTTTGCGAATAGCGATGGGGTGGTAATTCTGTTCTGTGAGTGGGGTTATTACACTAACCGTGCTCAATGCAACTGCTATGTAAATTCTTTCAGTATGCTGTCATTTTCCCATTAGTTATATATATTGTTACCACATCTTTGTGGAGTTAGGCTCAACTCTAAATCGGTATAGAAAGTATATGGGCAGCCTACTATGAAGATTTTTCTTTTTTTGTGGGCTTGATATGTTCATTATATTTATGGGTGTTCTTAACTATAACCATTTAAATTTAAATGTTTTAAAATCTCAGTTTTGTTACTTTCACAACATTGGGTAGCTTAAAGGTCATTTCTTCTATTTTAAAAAATGATTTCTTAAAAGCAATTATCAGAATACTTTTAAGATATTCATTTGGAATAAAACACTCTGAAATTCCAGTCGTGGAGATTTAACACGTATTTCCTAAATTTTAGTATGTAAACCTCTAATTTTAAAAGTAATCATAGTTAAATTTCTTTTCCAATGGTTACTGTTTTATTTGGTTAGTGTGTCAAAGGGGAGGAGACCTATTTTGTCTTGAGATAATCCTATTTTATTCCTTTCTATCTTAGTTATTGCTGTTAATTTCTTTCTTTCATGTCATTGATTTAGTTGCTTAGTTTGGCAACATGGCTGTTGATGTTTTTTATCTTTCTCTGTCTCCCTTTTTTCTCTCTTGTCTTCTCTTACCCCTACCAGGTGCTGGAGTCCGCTTGTCAGGGAGGGGGGCAGTCTGTGATTCTCAGAACAGAGCCAAGAAGGGGAACAGCAAATTCAGTCACATAGAATCCTCCACTCAGTCAAGAGCCGCTTTTCTCTTCCTGCCTTGCCCCCCACAGGGGGTAAGGAACCGAGCATTTGACCTTTAGCCCATTGGCTACCAGCTAAAATTCTACTTGTCTTAGTTTCTAGTGGATAGCTTTCTTATTTTGCCCATGTTTCCTTGGCGTCCCTATTTAATACACTTTTGTCAGTAGTAGCATCTAGGAGTAGCAGGGAGAGTAACAAGAAATTAGCCCCTTCTTTTTTCCCTTCTCATTCTGGCCCCTTTTCCTCTCCAGAGAGAAATTGCCAGTAAACTCTTCTAAATCTTCCACCCCTTCTCAGTCATACTGTGAAGAAACACACTGCAGTGGACATTATTTGACCAGTGAACACGAACCCAGCTTCAGGCATTGGTTTGTTGTGGCACATGGAGAAACATCTCTTTTAAAATATCTCCCAATTACCCTTTTCACCATTTGTATCCACCTGGGATTTGCTGCTGGGGTAAGTCACTAGATGTATTTCTCAAAGCTCCCCTCTCTATGAGCTGAAAGACTGACCAACCATGGACACTGGTAGGGGCTGGGGAAAGAGGACAGAGCAGAGCCAGTTGTTCCACGCTTTGGGAAGCAGGAGTAGCTTTTATCATCTTCCTCTGGGGAGCAGGCCTAGAGACATAAACTGAGTGAAAATGGGTGGAGGAAGAACTTCTGTACCCACGAACCACATGTGAAGAGAGAGAACCAAACATAAAGTAAGGAGGGTGAGTGTTATTGTATGTTGCTTGCTGACAGCTGTTTTGGGGGCACTTTAGTGATATACATTCATAGAAAGACTGTTTTATGGCAGATTAGTTGACAAAGTATTCTGCAAGTGGGATTAAGTCACAAGCATATGAGAAAAGAGCCTCTAGAGATTGTAATTATGTGGCGTGGCGCAGTGGCTCACACTTGTAATCCCAGCACTTTGGGAGGCTGAGGCAGGTGAATCACTTGAGGTCGGGAGTTCGAAACCAGCCTGGCCAATATGGTGAAACCCCGTCTCTGTGAAAAATATAAAAATTAGCTGGGCATGGTGACGCATGCCTGTAGTCACAGCTACTTGGGAGGCTGAGGCACAAGAATCGCTTGAACCTGGGAGGTGGAGTTTGTGGTGAGTCAAAATTTTACCACTGCACTCCAGCCTGGGCAATAGAGCAAGACTCTATCTCAAAAAAAGAAAAAAGAAAAAAGAAAATTGTAATATATTATTAGAATCTGAGGGAAGAGGAGAGTGTGATAGTGAAAAAAGTATTTTTAAATGTTAGCTGTGCTGATATGTGCGGTTGTTTCAAGAGAGGTTGAGTAGGGAGATTACGTACAGATGTTGGAAATTGTCTCTTAATTGTCTCTTGGAATTTTCTGCTTGTCATGTTAGGGATTGTTAAGAAATAAGATAGTACCTCCAAAAGTATGTGTACATAATACATTTTAGATTTATATGCCATATGTATCCGTGTACATGTTAGATTTGCAGGAAAGCAATGACTCTCTGGCTTCATGGTAACTAATGCCATGGTGTTTTTTGTTTTTTGTTTTTGAGACGGGGTCTCGCTCTGTGGCCCAGGCAGGAGTGCAGTGGCCGGATCTCAGCTCACTGCAAGCTCCGCCTCCCGGGTTCACGCCATTCTCCTGCCTCAGCTTCCCGAGTAGCTGGGACTACAGGCGCCCGCCACCTCGCCCAGCTAGTTTTTTGTATTTTTTAGTAGAGACGGGGTTTCACCTT